ACAAGAATTCATTGTCTTAGCACTTTTAGTTTAAAATTGTAGAATTTAAAAAAGATTTAATTGAATTTTAATAATTAATATTTATTTTTTTAATAATATAATACTTAGTGACACTTTATATTTGATAAGTTTTCTAAATTTTCTTATCGGCTATGAACGCATACTTCTAAGTAGCGAGTCTCAGATTTTTCAAGGCAACCTTGACGAACATCTCCGGCGAGACATGTTGACGTAGGCACGATTCGAGCTGCGTCATAGACACAAGTTAGACTACATATTTACTCAATATGATATGACGTAATTTCTAATATGATGTCATTTCTGATTTAATTGAAAAAATAATCCGTCATTTTCCCGATTCTCTTACAATTTATTCCATTTATTAAACTGACATTTTATCTGAAAGTTTTGGAATATTAATAAAATAGACATTATAATTACCTATGCAGAAAAAGTAGTAAATTTGAATAAATATTTGTTTGAAATGTTATATTCAAAATTATTATATTATTTATTAAAATTTAGTACATTTTTCTCTCGATGTAAACAGGCACTATGCAACGTTTTGGAGCTTGCTCAGTTTTACGGATTTTTGATCATTTTTGAGGGGTCGAGGCTTCACGCTGCCATAGACGATCTCTGCAAATATTTTAGTCGCAGAGTGTAAATTACAGTCGCAACATGCTCACAGACAAGGCAAGACTGCACGTCCTAACGAGCATAACCAAGCGACAGCAGGTGAAATTCAACGAAGCGCGAAATTGTCTCTTCTTCCGCGCGCAACCACGCACAAAGCTGTTAAATTTACATTGGATCATTCGCCTCATCATCCGCCATCGTGCGGAAGTATTGCGCGATTTTCGATCGGTTCGTTAATTTTCTACACATCCTTTACAAGTGCGCGAGATAAAACCATTATATGCGCTGGTTTTTTAAAAATATGTCTTCTATGGTCTTCATGCCACTTTTGTTGTTTGCCGATGAAAAAGAATATTGTATATATTTTTTATTAAATTGCAAGAAGATTTTAAGAATTTAGCTGTTCAGAAATTCATGATCACGAATTGCGAAAAAATCCGCTTTGGAAAGAAAAATATTGCAGCTCAGAACATGGGCGTAGTTAGGATTTTGTTTAGAGGGATAAATTAAAATAGAGATTTTTTAATCTGGAGGGAAAAAGAGAATGAACTGTTGAACTTGTTTTGTCTTATATTATTTTTTCTAATTAATTGACAAGTAAATTATAAAATCACATATTTAATTTACTATAATTTACTTTATTTTTTTCTTAAAATTGTAAACTGTTTCTTCGAACTAGAAAAATTAAATTTACAACACTAACTGTGAATTCTTGAATTCTCAGAGAATCTTCCTATAATTTTTATTTCCAATTCCTTCTGTGTTTCTAAAATTAATTTCTTGCTAATACTCATTAAGCATAATTTGTAAATTTATAATTCTTCTGTAATTATTTTTGTTCTCTTTTAAGATTTAGAGGGAAAGACACAGCCTGGCTACGCCCTATGACTCAAGAAAACTTAAAGCAGATTGCAATAAATGAAAGAAGAATCACTCTAAATAAACACAATCGGCAGGTATCTTTTTCTTCTCTCTTCTCTCAAGAAGCTCTACCTTTCGAGATTCATGGTTTGTTTCGAACAAGCGATCCCAAGTGCCATTGATCGACTCCGATTTACCATGGCGTTATGAAAGGGCGTTTGGCGAGGGTGGCATTATTCAAATGGCACGTTCTCTCCATTCCGGTGACTAATAAGGTCATCGACCTGATTGTGATTGCGACAAAGCCGCGGTAGCGATGTGAGGGCACACGTTCGTGAAGCGCTTGCATTCTCCATCGTATATTACGTTGTTCGTCGCGATCCAACGCGTTTAAACGCAGTTTCCTCGTAATTTTCCAGCACTTTCTAGCGCGAGGCTGAACGCGGCAGTCCAAGTACTAGCCGCACTGGAAACGCGTGTCGAACGTTAAGAGATCGTCGGAGATTAATACATCCTCTTAATGATTTGCGTGGACACAGGTCATCATCGCGTGCGACTGATATAAGTATAAGCTTCCCAGAAA